TATGCATAAGGAAATTGATTGGTCCATAAGCAAATGCATAAGAAAATGGACCAATCAATTTCCTTATGCATATGTTTATGCGACTATGTAAGTTTGTCTGGATAGGCCCTAAGAGAGAACTCTGTTCAGTGAGAGAAAGGCCCTCGATCCGCACATAGGAGAAGCATTACGGCCAAAGTGGGGAGAGCATTGGCATTGGCAATGCGGCATTGTATTGCACAAGCAGTTACAGTCCTGTGGAGTAGGAGGTTTTCTAAACGTCCCGTGAGGGGAGACCTGCGCGAAACGGACGAGTTTTCGCTCACTCTGGGGGTCTTTCTCTTACTGAACAGAGTATACAGGGTGTCCCATTTAAAAAACCCCACGTGAATAACTTTTCAGAAAGACATTTTCAAGAAAAATGATTTAGACCAAAGTTGTTGGGTTTGGAGGGGGACATCCGATGATGACATTGGTTTAACCTAGGGTGTACATGCCAAGGTCATATGGAGGTCCACTTTGTTTTTTTAAATAGAACATCCTATTTTTGATTTCAAAATCTAATAGCTGGTGTCAAGAGCTTTTCAAAACACTATAATGAAGTTATTTTTCATTAAGTACTTTTCGAGTTATGAGGCTTGTAAACAGTATTTTGACATAAAATATAAAACATCTTGTAAAACATTCAGTTTTTGAGAATGTTACCTTAATACTTCTATGCACAAAATAATGAGACAAATGAATTGGTATAAAGAAAACACATTGGTTTTAAAAAAAAGTATGCAATTGCATGTTGCAAATTACATATTTTTTCTTGAAAGCAACTATGTGTTTTCTTTATACCAATTGATTCGTCTCATTATTTTGTGCATAAAAGTATTAAGGTAAGATTCCCGAAAATTGAATGTTTTACAAGATATTTTGTATTTTATGTCAAAATGCTGTAACTTTCAAGCCTCATAACTCGAAAAGTATTTAATGAAAAATAACTTTATTATAGTGTTTTGAAAAGCTCTTGACACCAGTTATTAGATTTTGGAATCAAAAATAGGATGTTCTATTTAAAAAAACAAAGTGGACCTTCATATGACCTTGGCATGTACACCCTCGGTTAAACCAATGTCATCATCGGATGTCCCCCTCCAAACCCAACAACTTTGGTCTAAATCATTTTTCTTGAAAATGTCTCTCTAAAAAGTTATTCACGTAGGGTTTTTAAAATGGGACACCCTGTATATATTTTGCGTTCCTAATCGGATTTTTTTTGCAAGTGCGCGGGCTGTGGACGCCGTCGCCTAGGGGTAATTGGTTAATGCTAATGCCGACGGTACTTAAACTTTGAGGACTCATAACTCATTGTCAGGAAGTTACCATCATAAAAGAGTAACCAGCGTTTCGAAAACGCCTTGATCTCAGTTACAAGATTATGCAATGAAAAATGGAGATATTTATTTAAGAAATTAAAGGTAAAATTTAAACGACTATTAAAATTTAAACTAATGGCACCATCTTATGTCCCCCTCGAAACTACAAAACTTTTATACGAATTTTTTAATAAATGTCTTGGTTTTCGAGAAATTTTAATGGGTCATTTAAAATGAACTATCCTGTATAGCAGTGCTCGGAATTAGATGCACATTTCGAGCCGATTCCCGAGACGACGCCTTTTATCCCCCCACTACCGTTCGAGGCTCGACGGCCGAGCCGCTAATGTTTTGGCTCAGGAGCGTCCCTATAAGAAATAGGCTAGGATTGTACCTTTCACGAAATCGTTATTAATATTTATATAGGGACGCTCCTGAGTTAGAACATTAGACGCGCTATTGGCGGCTCGGCCGTCGAGCCTCGAGCGGTAGTGGGAGGATAGAAGACGTCGTCTCGGGAATCGGCTCGAAATGTGCATCTAATTCTGAGCACTGCTGTATAGGATCAAAGAAAATTGAATACTTTATGAGATGTTGTATATTTTACACAAAGTAATAATCATAATAAAATAGAAAGGTTTTTCGGAATAGTTTAACCAGAGGTAACATATTCCTATATAGTGTTTTGAAAACGTCTCGACGCCAGCTAAAAAAATATGCAATAAAAAATAGAGATTTACATTTAAAAAATCAATATATAAAAAAGGGCAGCAAGAGCCGCTGCTAGATGTACGTGCAGAAAAACATATATTTCAATACAAATCAGAACATACGTTTTGGCTTGAATATCAAGCCATCTTCAGTGTAAATACAAATGCTCGCAATACAAATTATTATAAAAGATAAGTTTGTATCATTAATAATAAAAGTAGTCTTAATGTGAAACTAAAAGTGTAGATCTTGTGAATCATAGTTTGACAATTGTCCGGTAATAGACTTAGAGTGCAAGAGTCAGTTGTTGTGAACAAGATAGAAGAGTATTCAATACGATAAAATTATAAAGTCAGAAAATAATATTTTACATTTAAAATTTTTATGCTATTGAGATTTTTCAAGGTCAAATAAAAATTATCATCTTTTTTCCTCCTCAAAATCTTATAACGTTTGTCTAAAACACTTTTTGTGTTTTCTTTAATTTTCGAGATATTTATTTAGAGCATTTTTTAAATAAAGCGCCTTGTATTATACAGAGTGTTTTCGGGTTAAATAGCCAAACTTGAAATACGTATTTAGGACCTCAAAACAAAGAAAAATTTCCTTTGGAAGAATGCTCGCAAACGCTTCGTTCAAGAGATATTGACTTTTAAAGTGACAGAACTCTTAGGAATGTATAATGTCGAAATGTCGCTTTTTGCTTTGTTTTGAAGATCCTAAATCATTGATAGGCTTATGTTCGCACTGTAAACAAAGCTCCTTTCATTCGTACAAAATAATTTTTAGTCCATTGAATGCTTTCGTAGGGTAAACTTGTATTAAATCAATGCAATTATGCCTCGTATGTATTCTAATAGTAAATATGCCTAAATGGTTTATTTATATGGATTTTGTGACGGAAATGCTAACGCCGCTCGTCGTGAATATGCCGCGCGATTTCTGAACAGAAGATTGCCAAATAAGTTTGTTTATTTTCATCAACATTTCAACGTTTGGAAGAAACTGGGTCATTTAATATGGTGCCCCGCTGCAGAATGAAAGAAGAACAGCCATCATATTGCAGCATTTTGACCAAAACTCATCAACAAGTGTCCGAAGATCTGGTTGTGAATTAGGAATTTCATCTACAATTATATGGAAGACACTTTCAGCTGATGGACGTTATCCATACCATCTTCAACGTGTCCAGCATTTATTACCGGCTGATATGACACGTAGGAGAGTGTTTTGCGATTGGTTTTTATTATTGGTTATTATTTTGTACGAATGAAAGGAGCTTTGTTTACAGTGCGAACATAAGCCTATCAATGATTTAGGATCTTCAAAACAAAGCAAAAAGCGACATTTCGACATTATACATTCCTAAGAGTTCTGTGACTTAAGAAGTCAATATCTCTTGAACGAAGCGTTTGCGAGCATTCTTCCAAAGAAATTTTTTTGTTTTGAGGTCCTAAATACGTATTTCAAGTTTGGCCATTTAACCCGGGAACACTCTGTATACTAAAATCAATTTTATTAAAAACCTATAATAATTATAAAAATTAAATTAGTTTTATTATTTAATTACTGGACTAGTATTTTCCATTAAAATTTTTTATTAATTATTATATTTTTATATATATTTGTTATGAAATGATGACTTATCCTACATTTTTTAACAGATAAGCGGTACCAAAAACAGAAAGCGCTTTTGCAACGTCGCCAAATAATGTTTGGCAACGGTACAGAGTTGCCGTTAACTGCATTGCGCGCTGTGTCAAATACAATGAGAACTGAATGCAATCCCAATTACGGCTTTACTGGCAATCCCGACCCCATCAAAGACTTGCCGCAAATATCCCGCGAATGTATTACTATAGGAGAGTTAGTATAAATATAACAGGCAATCAAATCAAGTCTAATTAATATATTAATTAGATGAAATATTAAGGAATTTTACAAGTTAAATTCAACTTTTCAAATATTTGTATTTGATGAGGTGTTGTCTTTGTCTAAATTTCAATATAAAATAAAATAAAAACTATTGATATAAATTGTATTAACTAAAATAAGAATTATTGATTATTTTTTAATGTAGAAGTGTCGGTGAAGGAGCTTTTGGCCGAGTTTACCAAGGCATGTATAAATACAGCAGCGAGGAATATCCTGTCGCCGTAAAGATGCTACCTTTAAAGACACCACAGGCAGAACATGATTTCATATGTGAAGCAGTGCTAATGAGTAAATTTAATCATCCTAATATAGTACAGTTCATCGGTGTCTCCTTCGACAAACATCCATGGTTTATTATCCTTGAGTTATTGGCTGGAGGCGATCTCAAGCAGTTCCTACATGACGAAAGGCCTACAAAAGTAAGTAATATAAAAAGATTATATAATATTATTAATTAAAAAAGGTGATAGCAAGAATGCAATTTAAAATGAAGGAAAGTGTGATTCTAGGAGAGAAGAGCAATCAAATTTACAATTTATACATATACATTACCGTTAAAAATTTGGAAGCACTTGGAATTTTGTTGGAAGTAATATTAAAACTAAAATATGCTATAATAAATAAAAGAATCATGTATACATATAGTAGTCCAAAATAGTTAGATACGTTTCTGATATCATAAATTTTTTCCACAAATCTCTTAAGATAATGGGCTAGTTTGTAAGACATTTTTGAAAGCTCTTTTTGAAACTATTAAAATGCATTACTTTTGATCCCCGGTCGTTGATCAAAAAATTTTATTGTTTTAAATCAGAGATGAGAATTAGTTGCAACTTTCAGCTCGATTTTCTGATTGACGCCTCCTGCCCCCTCCTTGCCGCTCGCATGCTAGTAACTAGTCGTCAAACTCGCGCTAACAACGCGCGTAACTAAGGTGCGCAATAAAAGCTTGTGCCAGTATTTTTGGATGTGTAGAAGGACCTTTGGCCAGACTTGGGGCTTGAAACCGAGTATGATACACTAGATCTACACAGCCATACTTCGCCCCAGACTCACATACGCAGCCGTAGTATGGTGGACTAGGGTGCAAAAGAAAACAGCCAAAGTTGCGCTGGAGCATGTCAGGGCTCTGATTTTGAGAGGAGCCCTGGGTGCTATGGTTACGACACCAGTAGCAGCGATGGGCGTAATGTTCAGCATCGAACCATTTCATCAGGTGGTGGTGGCTGCTGCAGCAATGGCGGCATACCGTCTGAGATGCGAACTAAAATAGAAAAAGGGAGCCCGGCATACGAGACTGCCGGAAGACGTTCTGCTGGATCCGATATTCGAGATGCGACAGGACAGAATACCTATTATTCGGGCTTCTGATAGGCGCTTCAAAGTGCATATACCGAGGCCGGAGGAGTGGGAAAAGGAAGGTGGAAACTTAGGGGCTCGAGTGCGTGGAGGAGATGTCTGGTATACGGACGGCTCCAAGACGGACACGGGCTCCGGGGCCGGCTTCTTTGGCAGTCGAGAGGGATGGAAGGAGTGCATTTCTCTCGACAGTTATGCCACGGTATTCCAAGCGGAGATTGTGGCTATCCTAAGCTGTGCTCAGACCGTGCGGAGTAGAGTAGAGGCGGGGGGGCGACATCAGGATTTGTACGGACAGCCAGGCAGCCATCAAGGCGCTGGGGGCTCCGACAATAACGTCGCGGTTGGTTCGGGAGTGCAGGTGCGTTCTGAACAAACTGGCGAGAGAGAGAGAAGTCACCGTTACCTGGGTGCCGGGTTACTTGGGCATCCAGGGTAATGAATGTGCGGACCAGCTGGCAAAAGCGGGTTCAGAAGTAACGATGGTAAGACCGGGGCCGGCTCTGGGAATCCCCTTTTGTTTAGGAAAGGGGAGGATCAAAGAATGGCTCCGTAGAGAACATCTAAGACACTGGAGAGTGGAATCTGAGTCCAAATGCAGACAGGCTAGAGCTCTGATGGAAGATACTCCTAATAGGGAACTGACTTGGAGCATAAGGGCTCTGAGTAGGAGAGATGCCAGGACAGCAGTACACATACTGACGGGTCATGGCACCTTAAACTACCACATGTACAAGCTTGGGCGTAGCGATACATCCAAGTGCAGGGCATGTGGAGACGACGAGGAAACAAGCCTTCATGTGCTCAGCGACTGTCCTGCACAGGCAGGGTTGAGACACAAGATGCTGGGCTCAGCACTACTTGAGCCCGAGCAGATCAGGAAGCTGCCGGTGAGGGATCTGATTCTCTTTTGGAGAAAAACAGGTCTCTCATGAGTAAGTTTATGAGGGGAGGCACAATGGACAATGTCTGGGTGCCGCGGGCGGTGCTTCGAAAGAGGAACGCTCCCCCGTTATAATATTATTATTATTATTATTAAGGTGCGCAATACTCAGCCTCAGGAATGTCCATATCACAAATGTAGTAAGATAATAAACATGGGACAATTGATTTCCATATCACCTGTGAAACACTATTGTTGAAGAACGCGTCAATAATAGTATCTAAGATGATGTGGAAATCTATTGTCTTATATTTATGATCTCACTGCATTTGTGATATGGACGTTCCTGAGATTGAGTATTGCGCGTCTAAGTTACGCGCGTTGTTAGCGCGTTTGGCGACTGGTTGCTAGCATGCGAGCGGCAAGGAGGGGGCAGTAGGCATCAATCAGAAAATCGAGCCGGAAGTTGCAACTAATTCCCATCTCTGTTTTAGATGAAAAAGCGTAATGACTTTTCAGTAGTCTTAATAACTCTTTTGCGGCTCTTTTAACTACGATTGTTCAATGAGTCATACATTTGATTAATAGAAAAGCATTGAAAAAGTTTGAGAATAAAAAATAAACAGTAGTCGAAAGAAATGTCAAAGTTACCAAGAAATTCCAAGTGCTTCTAAACTTTTGAACAGTGGTGTATATTTCAAGGACTCATATGTTAATAAAACTTATAATTTTCGACCGCTCGAGACCTTTCCCTTTTTCACCGAAATCAGAGCTAGATCGAAATTTTTAGAAAGTATGTATAAATGTATTTTTGATTTTGCAGGATCATCCTACTACGTCCTTAACGATGTTGGATCTCATTATGTGTGCCTATGACGTCGCGAAAGGTTGTAAATATATGGAGGATGCGCATTTTATACATCGAGACATTGCTGCTAGAAATTGTTTGTTAACTACCAGAGCTCCAGGACGTATCGTTAAGATTGCTGATTTCGGTATGGCTAAGGACATTTATCGAAGTGATTATTATAAGAAAGGTACGAAAACAATAATGCCCGTAAAGTGGATGCCACCTGAGAGTTTCATGGACGGCCTATTCACTGCAAAAACCGACGTTTGGTAAGATTATATTTTGTTTTATATTTCGTGTTAGTTATCAATATCTATTAAAAAATCACTTTAAAAAAAAGATTTAAAAAATCGCGTATACCTGCTTGTCGGAATACTATTGTACACAATAAAGTGATATTTAATATATGTGTATATATGTATATTAGGGTGGAACGAAAAAAGTGAATTTTGAAATATCGTTTTGTATCTCGGGGAAAAGTTGTCTTTCATATATAACTAAAATGATATCATATCATATTTTTTTTAAACATTATGTAAAATTATGTCAAATTAAAGTATAAAATATCTCGTAAACTATTCAATTTTTGGCCATCTTACCCTTATAACTTTTTACGACAAATATTGCTAGGAATCGATTTATATAAAAAATTAAGATAATTCCATTTAAAAAAAACGAAGATAACCTTCAAATCTCCAAAACATCTCCACCCAAGGTGAAACTAATATCTCTGTCTTCCCCCCCCCCTCCCAAATCCTACAACTTTTATTTGAAACATTTTTTACCAAAACGCTATGTTTTCAAATTATTACGGTGTGAAAGTAAAAGTGGGACACCCTGTATATACATATTGTTGCGTCCGCGAACCGGTATTTCACGCACGACAACGAAACTCACGAAATCAAGCAACACAACACAACACTTTGAATAAACAGAGAACACTTTAATAAGAACAGTAACTCAACAGTAACTCATACAATAAATAACCGAAAATAAGATTTAAAGACCGGAACTGTCGTATAAGTCCGCCCGAGCAGACAGCTATCTCAGATCTGACATATGACAGTTTGTTTATAACTGTCATAGAGACCCTTTAAACTGTTAATCAATATTCGTTGTCTTGACAACGAATATAAGAAAGATTATTAATAAATGCCATATGGCTTCAACTCTCCAATGACCGATCGATATTATCGATCGGTCCGTCAGCTGTAACACACACAGCATCAGCGGCGAAATAGTACGGGCGCAGCAATATATATGTACACCGTATACATATGTATACACCATATGTTTAATTGAAATTAATAAACTTAAAAAGAAAGCTATTCTTTCTGTTTTTCTTATGTAACGAATACAAAATAAAAAAATAAGTAATTTAATAGTTAATTTATTAATTATAACATACACACACCTATTTCATATACATTTATCTTTATTTAGGATTTTATAAAATAATGACTGAAACAATTAATACATATTGTAATATTCAATATGTGTATTCAATATTGTATATATAAAACATTAAAACAAATGTATTAAATAATCTTAATCGTTATTGTATAATGTACAAAATAAAGATAATAAAATGTTTCATATATGTATATTAAATATACAATAATTAACTAATTGAGTATTAATTACATACGGATACAAATAAGGAAAGCATATGACATTTATTACATGTAATATAGTCTATAATATTATATGTATGTCAAGTATATTTTCATTTTTACTTTACTACTTTTTATCACAATTTATTAGACATCTGGTATCATGCCGATTTCGTTTGGTATATTAAATTGCAGTTTTGTGACGGAATTTCGATCGAAAAAAGTACGAATATCTGTTAACAATTTACACCATAACACAGATCAATGTAGTAAACGAAAGAAAACGTTATAACAAATTGCCAGCTCACGTTACATCGTC